GGGGGCGGGAGTGGGAGTGAGAAGCACTCACCTTCTCCAGCTCCAGCAGGTGGAACCGGAGCACCTGGATGGCCTGTATCATCTGAAAACAGAGACAGCGAGCGGGCAGAGGGGCGGCGGGAGGGAGACGGAGCAAAAGAGAAGAAGGGAGAGGAGGAGGAGGAGGAGGAGGGGGCGAAAGAGGGAAGAGAAGAGACGGAGGGAGAGAAAGAGGGAGATAGAATGACAAGGACAGAGAGACGGAGCAAAGAGAGACACCAAGACAAAGAGACAGGCGCAGAGAGAATTAGAGATCGGAGATGGAGGCCCCGAATTCCGGGAACGGCGTCGGATTGTGTCAGAGACAAAGAGAAGCGCGCGGTGCAAGAGACAGGAAAGGATCCATCACAAGAGGCGCGAACACAGGGAAGCTGCAATAACAACGCCCTCTCCTTGGCGGGCTTGCCCTCTGCTCTGGGGCCCACCCGGCACCTGCGAACTACATTTCCCAGAGTCCTTTGCCAAAGGGCTCCGCCAATAGGAAGCGCGGCGGGAGCTGGGACCTGAAAGAAGCCAGGGCATTCCTCCCTCTCCCTCCCTTTCCTCTCTTCTCTTTCTTGGCTCTCTCCCCCTCCTCTCTCCTTTGCAGCTCAGTCCCCGCACTCATTTGGGGGGTGGGCTCTGTTCTCCCGCAGAACAGCTCCTGCGCACCGAGTCTGCACCAGGCACTGTTCTAGGCTCTTTCTCCTCTCTCCTTTGCAGCTCAGTCCCCACATTCATTTTGGGGGGTGGGCTCTGTTCTCCCGCAGAACAGCGCACCGAGTCTGCACCAGGCACTGTTCTAGGCTCTTGACTCTCGTTAACTCATTAAATCCTCACCAGAGCCCTTCGAGGTAGCAATGACTACTAGATGCACTTTACAGATGAGGAAACGGAGGCGCAGGGAGACGGAACTACAGTGGGGCCTTGACTTACGAGTTTAATTTGTTCCAAGACCGAGCTCGTTAAGGAGCTCGTTAACTCAAATTACTCTGTCAACTCAATGCAAAAAATCGGCCGAGAGACAGCTGGTATCTCAAAAAACTCGTTAGTCGGGACACTCGTAAGTCAAGGTCCCACTGTACTTGTCCTGGCTCACAGAGCTAGGCTGTGGCAGAACTTGGCTTCGAACTCGAGCCACTGGCCTGCGTTCTCAAGTCTAGGCCATACCGCATTGCAAAGGGGCAACAGTCTTCACTGTGTGAAAATGTGGGCCCCCCAACCAACCCCAAGGCTATGGAGGGCGGGACAGGAGACCCCCGTGCAGGAGCGGGCATTGTGGGGGGGGGCCCGGGCCTCACCAGATTGTCCAGCTCCGGGTTGGAGGAGAAGAGGGGCCTCTCGGAGCGGACCTGGGGGGGAAGAGAGAGGCCAGGGCGGGCACACCTGTCTCCCGCCTGCCCTCCCTGCTGTCCGGGGCCTGGCTGCACGCAGGCGGGTGCCCACCTGCTTGGCAAAGGCTGCGATGTCCTCATTGAAGGAATCGGAGGAGCAGACGTCACCGCCCAGGGGTGCGCCCAGCCCGGCCCCGGCCCCATCACGGGGTGAGCAGGTGGCCAATTCACATTTCTCAAAGACCAGGGCCAGCAGCGGGAAGAGCGGGTGTCTGGAGGGAGCAGGAGAGGAGACATCTCATGAGGGGAGGGCCGGGGTCTTTGAAACTCTGAGCAACCGGGAGGAGAGGGGAGACCCAGAGGGAGGGGTTAGAGAGAGAGAACCAGAGTGAGATACAGCCAGAGGGAGAGAGAAACAGTCTAGTGCAGTGGTTCTCAACCTTCTGGCCCTTTAAATACAGCTTCTCATGTTGTGACCCAACCATAAAATTATTTCCGTTCCTACTTCATCACTGTCATGTTGCTACTGTTATGAATCCTCATGTAAATATCTGATATGCAGGATGGTCTTAGGCGACGCCTGTGAAAGGGTCGTTCGGCCGCCAAAGGGGTTGCGACCCACAGGTTGAGAACCGCTGGTCTAGAGAGACCAAGAAACAGAGAGGAAGGCCTGAA